GTAGTCAGCATACTGTCGGAGGGCGAAACATTTTCATTTTATTTGCAGCGCTCTCATGCAGTGCTGTGTGTGTAAAACATACAAATCAGTGTAAAGATTTAATTAAAGTAGAAATGAATATGGGCGGGTGGTCTGAGACATATAACTGTTAGTGACTTGTCAAGAGTCATTATGATGTTTGCACATAGTACCTGCTGAATAAATGTCGAACAACGTAGCCACTCAACCATGACGATCTCAATGATTTAAATTATAAGTTTTTTTTTTCTTTCAATATAATTTAAGGTGAAAGTTATTGGCAATACATTAACATATTTAATTCAACAAACAAATGATCGTATAACATTGCGCTATAAACGTAAAATGAAACGACATCAAGTGAAGGATGGTCATCCTGGATCATTACCATTGACTAGTACAAATGAATCGAATCGTTTACCAAATTCATCACCGACACATTCATCTTTATTATCACCGAATATTTTTAATGTTGTACAAGGAACTTCAATGAATCCTATGCCACCAACAGCTACACGTAATCCTTCTACTGTAGCTATGACAACTAAGAAGACTACACCTTCACTTGCAAGTTTACTTACATCGAATACTCAAATTACACCTAATGGTATTAGTCAGTTTAATAATGCACCTTTAGATGCTTATAATTCGGGAGATATAAGTCCTCCGAAACAAATGAAAGCAACTAAAAATACTACGAATAAAACTAATGTTAATAAAGGTTCAGAGCAAGCACGTCGTGGACCAGCACCTGGTACAACAGGAGTAAAACGGTTAGTAGAAAAATAGATTTTATGTTCGTTTTTCTATGAAATATTATTCTTTAGAACAGCAAAGAAAAATACAACAACTCCTGCTTCATCAATGTTTGACATTCAAAGCGAAGAAAATTCTAGACCAATGACATATGATGAAAAACGTCAATTAAGTATTGATATTAATAATTTACCAAGTGAAAAACTTGGTCCTGTTGTTGAGGTTTGTTGAAAAATAATTTCTTTTATAATTTATTATTATTATTGTTTTCAAAAATAGATTATTTATAAACGAGAACCATCATTACGTGATTCAAGTCGAGATGAAATGGAAATTGATTTTGAAATACTTAAACCATCAACATTACGCGAATTAGAATCTTATATTAATCATGTTATGAAAAGAAAACCAAATAAACAACTGACTACATCTGGCAAATGAACCTTGGTTTTTACTAGTCATTTCAATTTTTTTTCCTATTGTCTCATTATTAATAAAAAAAACAATTATTAAATTGTCAGGTGATTGAGATCAATTGTACATAGATTAATGTAAACCTTAAATTTGTTTAATAAATAGTTTTATATTATTAGAAACAAAATAAATGATTCTCTATTATGTTCTTGCATTGAATATATATCCAATCGAAAGAAAACTCTGTATTGTGGAAAACACAAAGAAAACGAGGTTCTATTTTCTATTAGAAAAAATCGTCGAGTATATTATTTTCAAAGTTGTAACATATTGTCTGCATATATCGTTGTTATTATTTAATTTTCAAGGCTTGTCTTTTCACATATGTAATACAATACGGCAAACAAAGTCAAAGAGATGATTATTAAAAATACGTGAAAGTAATATTGTGGGAAATCAATATCGAACATGGTTTGACAGTACAAAAAGAAAAAAAACAGTGGTATCAAAATGATCTACAAACGTTCTTTTAACTATTATGCACAATGCTTCATATACAAAGAAAATGTACTGTGTTAAACAGCGCATTATAACATTTTTCGATTAAATTCTAAGAATTTTTCTTTTTGAATTCTTCTAATTGATATATACCAACTTTTTGATTTTTAAATCTTTTCAACTAAAGGTAGAAGAATTAAAATTGAACATATAAAAAAAAATGTTTGAAAGATCATTCAAAACTTTAATAAGTCGAAGCATATCGATAAATTTTTTTTTGTTTGAAATTTGATGGCTTGAAAAGCCATTATTACACTTTTGGCAAGGCAAAAATACTCCTTCTTTACAATTTGAAATATAATATATAAATACTATTTATTGAGCCAATATCGACAAGTAACGTTAAAGGATTTCTCTTGATGTGTTACAAAGAAAGGTGCTAGAAGAACGAGTATGTCTAGCAGAGCCATTTCTTTATTCTCATTTGATTCCTATGAATCGTAGGTAGAACATTCTGATCATCTAATGGCAGAAAGTTTTAATTAAAACACGAGTTCGTACTAGTGTCGAACAACAAAATGGTTTAATAGGCAATATATTGTATTGTGCTTGCAGCCATGAACTTGGCCATTTTGTATGGATTCGTCGTTTAAAATCATTCTACTGTGTATAGCCCATCGAACGATAGAAACTGGTAGACTATCTCGTGTACGTGATGCATCGTGGTGGCTATCGTATATTGGAAAGCAAAGCAGCATATAGAAATGCTTCGTGTCGCAGTGACCTTCACACGACAATGCATTTGTTTGATCGACCAAGTATCTGTTCGATATGTGCACTCAGAATTCGTGCCACCAAGATCAAACTAATTGATGAATAAAGTGGAAAAGAAACAATTATTGTAGTCGAGAAATGGTCAGATGTACGAGAATCCAATAACGTGTGAAAGTTGTATGTTTCACGATGCTTAGGATTCTTTTGTTCATCAATGAGAATATTAATCATTTTACACTTATCATCATAGCATCTAATATATTCGTTGCTCAATGTAGTAATATTATATTCTCACACTGTATGAAGAGTGTAATCTCTTCTCTGTGCAGAATAAGTTTTATGGAACCAGTTACTTTAAATGACTCGCTCATCTTATAGTTGTTGTGAAATTAGCCTCGTTCTATCATAATTGACGCTACGTCTATTTTTTGATTGTATGTGTTCATTATTGTTGCCTCTCTAAACCTCTTGATCTATTTCTTTTTTTAAGATGTATGTATGCAAGATCAAAGCAGTATTCACATTTTTTTGAACATGGAAGTGGTCACGGTGAAATGATATTCAAAGAAGATCACGACACAGCCACTTACGACAGATGGATGTCCTGGTCACAGGACACCATTTGACAAAATTAGTCGTAAATTGAAGTGACAGATTGTCTGTTAAAATCGAACGAAATACTTTTTACAACTCTCTTACGATGATTTCCCTGACTGCCCAGATGCGTAAAGAATGTTAGATGTCAGTGACATATTCCTCGCTTATTATCAAAAACTATAGATCTGTTGTGATGTAATGGTCTGAATGTATTGAGGCAATTTTCACCATTGAATACGAGCACATTTATCTTTGTTTACCATCATAATAGTGCTTGAGTATTACTACACATTTTTATGTGAAGTACAGAAAATGCAAAATCAAACCAAACTGTTTTTTCGTTTTTTACACGTACCTACAGAGAACTTGAGGAACGGACTAAGAATATGTATTTTTTAATTTCTATTGAAACACTTTTTACTAGACACAATTTGAAATTTTTGATAGTCTTGAATGGTCCATTTTTTTAAAGGTACCTTTTTCATACTGAAAAACTGACATGTTTAGATGCTTCATGAAAAACTGAGTCTGTGAGACTAATTTTAAACTTACTCGCATAGACTCAGTTTTTCATGGGCAGTTTGAACATACCAATTTTACAATTCACATCAAAGAGAATTTTTTAAAGAACAAAATGTTTCAGTGTTTCAGTACGAAAAACGTACTTTTAAGAAAAAATGACGTATTGACTATTGTCAAAAATCTCAAATTTTCTCTAATAAAAAGTCACGCAGAAGAAATTTAGGCAAACGCATATTCTTAGTCACTTCCTTACCTTCCTCTAAATATTTATAAAAGAATGAAACAAAAAAAAACAATTTTTCAATAATTTTCCCCTTTTCTTACCCTATAGTCGCTTCATTCGATTTTATTTCGCTTGCAAGTCACACTAATAAGTCAATTCGAGCATGAGACACTCACCTTCTAGCACATGTCTTTTTTCTCTTAGAATAGAACGAGAAGATATGGCCCGATGACAACATTGAGAAAAATACGCCCAGAGCTACTCATTTAGATGATTTCATCTCTCCCTCTCTGTTAGTGTGTTTGTTTTTATTCACATATACGCGAAATTGTTAGTGTTGAGTAGGCCATTGTTGAGAACAGTTCTACTGGACAAGTACCATGAGCGATCACAATGCTACTGAGAAGAGCAGTCCATTGCCCTCTCTCAAGATAGAGTATGACGAGACAGATTCTATCAAGACCGACTCTGACAAGACCGACTCTGACAAGACCGACTCTGACAAGACCGACTCTGACAAGACCGACTCTGACAAGACCGACTCTGACAAGACCGACTCTGACAAGACCGACTCTGACAAGACCGACTCTGTAAAGACAAAGTCTGTTGTACAAGAAGTGAATGTAGTCGTCACCGATGAAAAGGAAGAAGATCCAGGAGACAAAAAACTTCTGCGCAAAATGGACTGGCACCTGGTTCCAACCATGACAGTGCTCTATCTTCTAAGTTACCTTGATCGGGTGAATATTGGTCAGGCAAAACTCGACGGTCTAACACTGTCATTGAATCTGAGCAGTAGTCAATATAATGCATGCCTTAGTGTGTTCTTCGTCACTTACGTTATATTCGAAGTTCCATCGAATTTGATATTGAAACGACTTCGACCTAGTCGATGGATACCATTGATCATGGTGGCATGGGGCATCGTGATGACACTGATGGGTCTGGTAAATTCATATGGAGGTCTTCTTGCGTGTCGATTATTTTTGGGTGCTTTTGAATCAGGTCTTTTTCCAGGTATAGAAAAGAAGAGTCACTTAGGATCTTATCTACCAGTGATTTATTCTATGTAGGTGTCACCTTCTATCTATCGAGTTGGTACAAGAGACGTGAACTATCATGGCGTGTAAGTATTTTTTTCTCGGCTTCTGCTCTGGCTGGTGCCTTTGGTGGTGTGCTTGCATATGGTATCACTAAGATGGCTGGTGTTGGTGGACAAGAAGGCTGGCGTTGGATCTTCTATCTTGAAGGCATTCTCACAGTAGTTGTTGGAGCATTTGCCTTCTTTCTTATAAATGATTTTCCTTCTGATCAACCGAAATTTCTAACAGAGTCCGAATGCAAACGTGTCATGACTCGACTACAAACCGACACAGGAACTGGAGCCAGCGAGCACTTCAGCTGGAATCAAGTATTGGCTGCTCTATCGACATGGAAAATCTATGTTTGGTCCTTATGTTTTATTGGAATCAGTATCCCTCTCTATTCTCTTGCATTTTTCTCACCAACTCTAATTCAGAGTCTTGGTTTCGTCACGTATCAGGCCCAATTGCTCAGTGCGCCGCCTTATGTATTCTCTTTTCTGACAACGATGATCACGGCCTATCTTTCTGATAAATATGCTCGTCACGCTATCTTCATCATCTTTTGGTCCTCCGTCAGCATAGTTGGTTATACTATTCTGATATCCGTTGAAAACGTGATTGTGAATTATCTTGCTGTGTTTCTTGCAGCTGGTGGTCTCGCCCCATGCATATCCACTAGTATTGCTTTTTTATCAGGCAACACTAGCCCACAAACGAAACGAGCCACCGCGTTGGCATTCATGATTTCAGTAGGCAATATCGGTGGAGCGATCAGTGGGCAACTCTATCGGGCACAAGATGCACCTCGCTTTATTCTTGGTCATGCAGTCAATCTAGGTTTTTGTGCATTCGGTCTAATCAATGTTGTGATCCTATTCTTCGGTCTACGAGCAGAAAATCGACGCCGTGATCGTCTGTATGGACCTATCCCATCGTCACTTGCAGTTGCAAGTGCGGATTCAACGTCATATGGAACAGATGTCGAACGCTCTGATTCATGTGGCTTAGGAAGTGAAGAAGACAGACGACGATGGGGCTATGAGAACATGTCTGAAGAGGAAATTCGTGATTTGGGAGATCGACATGCTGCCTGGCGATATATTCTCTAGAAAATCAAATTGTTCACAACTATATAAACTTGTTTAATAAATCGTAATATTTTGACATCCACTTATGCCAGCCATCATGATTTGATCGATACATAAATTTTATTTTTATCGTAATTTTTATTGTCTCTATATTTAATAAAATTATATTCCTACATGATATATTATGTTGTTTGAAACTAACACATCAATTGGTATCTATAACATAGAACATACGCATCAATCCGTTGTTTTGTTTTTGGGCAGATATAAATGACCAAATTTTAATTTTGTTGAGCAATTATAATAAAAAGTGAAGTAAGTAATCACAAATTTTATTTTATAAAATAAAAAAATTAAAATCAAAAAGAATTTTTTTAATCTGTTCGATGATAGTGCCTATTATGGGTGGGTGTCGAAATATTACGATTTATTATATTTCATATAGACGTTCACGTAACCGTCTAACATTCGAAAATGATTGTGGTTCATTACAAAGTAGAAGCAATAGTGACTAGGATTTTGATTAAATTGAATTTATAGATGTATGTAAATATATGTGAGGAGGTTTAAACTTAGACTATTAATCTAATCTTACATTTGTTGTGAATATTTCAGTTTAACTACCATGTATATCCACTATTAGATATAAAAGAATGATCAATTCGTTGGTAAATGTAATGTTTCTTTATGCGTAAAATCGATTGTTTATTTTTAAAAAAAGTCGAACTCTCATTGTTATGCAACATATCTAGTAATAATAACTTGACGACGTTCGATTTCAATGCTTTATCAGGAATTTTATAGATACGTTGAGAAAAAAAGCATTTATTGAAGCGAAGTTGTCAATATACTCCAAATCTTGCTCATTAATCGTAAGAAGAAAATATTTATTCCGACATGCTTCTTGGTGCTACACAGAAGAACAAAATTAGGTTAATGAAGAAATTGTTTATTCTCCTTTATGTAGTGAAATGCTTGGAGAAAAGCTTTTTATTATTCTTTCAGTTTGTATTTGTTCCAATCTATAGATAAATTGAAGCAAACAGAGAAATAAAATCTCTCTCTGTCTTTACGTCTTGTTTATTTATTTTTAGTTAAGAATATAAAAGTACCTACAGTCGGAGAATTTATTGAACGTAAGAGACCATTTTACACCGCCTTTTCGACGAAAAATTTGTACTAATTATGAATTTACCTTTGCATTTTCTACGTATTTACCGAATAACTGTACATCTTCCTTATTCTTAAATGTTGTTTATATTTCTCATCATGTGAATACAAACGAAGTTTTTTTTTGGTTGCTCTTCGTCTATCATTGAAATTGCAATTATCTTCGAATTAATGTTCATAGCTTTTGCTTAAATAAAAAAAACTAACACATCGAAGAATCAAACAAATGTATCAGAGCCAGCATGATGTGCTACTGTATGTTTATATAACTTTCTCAAAATATTCGTTTCTCAGTTTAAATATATATATATACATGTACACGCTTTAGTGAGTGGTTTGTTGTTCTCCGATATTTTTGGTATATGTTACCATTTCGAAGAACTATGATTCGGTACTAGTTGAAGTAAAAATAAATCAAGATAGACGCAATTGATTAAATATGAAACACTATCATCTACATATTAAATTCATAAAGATCTGAAGAATTTACAATACTCGCTAAATATACATGAAAGTGTGAAAAAAATAATTATCCATTCGGAAGTGGGTGTAAAGAAGTGAAGTCCTAGGCATCAATAATATTTCTTCAGTGCACAAGAATGAAAGATAGTAATAATGTGAAAATAAATATTCTTTCTTATTGACTACCTGACTCTGGCGAAATTCATTGCAATGATTCGTCAGTTAGATAGACGTGAATTTTTACAACCACAGAGATATATTGAATAGAAACCAATAAATAGTATTAGTTGATGTAGTCAACAGCTTGAAAAAAGCAGGTTCGACAATTGCTGATAATTCTTGATGAAATCAATTAAGTTTATGATCTTTATTGACAATCTTTAATCATAATTATGAGAAAAGAGAACTATATATAGCAACAACGGTAACAAGAAAACATGACTTTTCGATAATCTTATGAAATAAAAGTATATGACAATATTACTTCCAGTATATTGTAGTCAGAGTCATCCAGGATAAGACTTTCTCATCCTACTCTTTCTAAACTCTACTGCTTGTACTGAAAATATGTTCACTTGTGGCTGCACTTGCCAAAACTTCCCATGGTCTTTTGCAAATACACTAAGTTGTAAATAGTTGAATGACCGTTTGTTCCACCAGTCTAATACTAATTCTTTTTTACTAAAATATAATTTCACTTTAATACAACAACCGACTTCTTCTAAACCAGAAAGATGTCAAGAGTGTCTTCGAAGTCGCTTGCCAGCCAACTCTGAGCAGTATGAACAACATTCTAATTCTATCCTGAACATTTTTTTTGTATTATCCTTATCCTAACCTACCGGACTCTGATTCCCAATCATTATTATCGATGATATCATCGCACATGCAAGAAACTTGCAACTGCTTGCTGATAATGATGTGTACCATGGATAAATTGTTTATGCACATTAATAAATCTATAGGCATCACTGCGAAAGACAACACATGCTTGCTTTCTTTGTGATAAATGTAATTTCTTTTCGACAAATCCAAAAGAATAAAAACGATCATGTCTTGTAATCAAATAAATGTCATTGTTTTTTCTTTATTATTTAAATTTTCTCATTCGTAGTTTTTTTTTCAAGTTACATATACAAAACAAATAAATATAAGAAAAAGAATTGTATATGCGCTAATATTGAAAAAATATATAACTGAGTTTTGAATATTGACAAAAAAAAGAAATATAATAGACAGATCATCAATTAAAAACGACGATAATTATTCGGTGTTGTAGTATTCTGTAATGCTGAATTAGCACGTGGATTAGGTCCAGGAGCAAATTTAACAGGTGATTTTGTTGGTCGAATCGTACTAAGTTGACCACTAAATAGAAGAAGTAGATGTAATATTGTTTGACAATGTCATAGTTTATACTTATGATACTCAACATTATTGAGCTAGGGTGAGAAACTTTGAAGTGTAAGCCATAGTTTTACATAGCTTTACTCAAAAAACCCTTGTTTTTTCATAAAACTTGCATTCTTTATTTCTGAAAATTTCTGGATTAAACTCGACATAATATCAGATCAATCGCTATACTGAATTATTTTTTTACTCTTTGAAAATTAGCTCAGATAATGAATTGTGTTATGGTTAGTCTACGGAAACGATTTGTCGAAAAACTTAAATACCACTTTCTTTACATGACATACATTTATATGACTTACTCTGTAATATTCACATGAGACTTCAATTCATCTATTAGAAGGAACAATCGATTATATCGAATATCATATAGGACATGTTTCAACACCCTTTCTGGTAAAATGAAGGTCACAGGAAGCTCACATTAATCTTTGTCAATAATTAGTCTTAAAATTAGGCTTAAATTAGTACAATATAATGCCATTATTCATATAATAGAACGTATCAGGTAATTTTCTCTAATATATTCGTATCGATGAAATATTAATTAATTAGTTTTTTGAATTTTATTGTTTTCTATCTCGAATAATTTTTTTATTTTTTCTTAGTAGGAACAATATCTTAAGCCTATATTCGACACTATAGACATATAAATAGAGCATACCGTCGAAGAACAATTTGTAATCGTAATGCATTTCGAATAATATTTTCTGCATCTTCATGCTTCATTAGGCTTGCATCTAGTCCATCAATAAAAGCAAGACCATCACCAGCATGAAGTTTGTTGTGTGATGGTGAATTGGATATCACCTATGTTTATAACATAGAACAAAAGAGAGAAACGATTTGTTTGTCTTATAAGAATGAAGATGAAGTACGAACCTTTTTAACTGATAATGGTAATCGAAAATCAACTCCACCTTGAAGACGAAAGCCCCAATTTTGATCTAAACTCGATCGTTCTAGTAGCACAGGTACTGAAGGCAGTAATGAAGAGTCCATTGTTTTTTTTCCGTCTAGAACTTGTATATAATTTTTCCGACTATATTTTGTACGACAATTTTCCTGTCTCTTCTTTAATATGATGGCGCGTCGCTCAGTTGTGCATTTCCTATTAGCCTTTTCTCTTCTTATTCTTATTCTTCTTCTTTTCCTACTATTGCTGAAAGAAATGAGAGACCTTGTCCTTAGTCATGTCCAAATAGTATTTGTAAGATCATCGTTTATATATATATACGCGTCTGTACACACCAAACGTAGCACATAAGCTTCGCCGTATTATGATTATTATTTGTAGTGGTACGATATATATGTATTATGGAATGCAAGAGTAAGAAACGATGAAAACGTCAAGGAGGAGACTGTAGATATCTATAATATTTTTTGTCCTGTTTCTCCTCCTTTCTCTCTCAAATAAATATGCTAAAGAAACGAGCAGAACTGTCTTACTAGTAGCTTTCACACAGTATGTAATCTGATTATGAGCGTTTAATAATAATTATGACTGTGCTTTTTATTATGTTCACATCAAAAATATTGTGTTCAGCTGTTACCTGATTAAGATTTTACACTAAAGATAAGCTATTACTTGTCAATTCTTACTGTTTGAGAAACATATTATGATAAATTGATTAGGTGATACTATCTATAACTAGAATCAACATCTTATTTTAAACGACAGTATATATAGAACCTTACAAAAAAAGTAATGCCTTTTGGGAAAAAAATCGATTCTATAAAATTATAATCTCTGTTGAATAAATGGATCAGAATTAGCCTTGATTTTAAGTAGTATTTATTCATATTTTTGTTGTACGAAGAGGCAATATTTGATTCAAGAGAATGATCTTCCAGCGCTAAATCTAAGCAAGTTCAAGCCTCAGTACTATTGATAAAATGTTTACAACAACATCGTGATGTAATTAAATACTTTGACTGTTTAGTATTTTGAAACTTTTTGTTTTTACTTTATAATTTTGTCTCATTAAAAACTCAGTATGTTCAATGTATCAGGCTGAGTCTTACATATATAAAACATGTGCATAAAGAAACAACCGATACAGCAATCAATAATCGTATATCCAGAATGTACGTGGATGCCTGTTATTTGTTGTAGGCCTAAATTCTTTGTGCTCTACCATCAGTATGTGATATTGTAATTCTTTCTTCTTTCCGCTTGTCCAGTTTTTATGATTGTTAATCAATCTATTTGATTGAGTACGTGTCCATGCATTGGATTTAACAATAAGTTTTTTCCAATAGTATTTCTTTCGCCAAAAAAATATATTGGTACAACTTGCGTCATTGCATATTAATGTCTTAAACAAATAAACGTCTATTTGCTTATTCCTTTCTAACTTACATTTTTGACCTAATCGGAAAATGTTCGATAATTTGATCCTAATAGGAACATTTTTAATCATGATCAAGAAGTTTTCAAAATTCACTGCTTTTAAACATCGAAACGAGGTGAACTGATGAGAATAATATATATATAAATAGATGTGTCTTATTCTTATAAACGGTAGTAAGTTCTCCACACCAATGGCGTTTATCTGTTTTTATCGAGACTAGTTTTGTTTAGAACTTCTACAACAGATTATCTTTGATTTGTAACTAATATATATTATATTTTTATTACGATTTTCCTAATATTTGCGGTTTTAGAAAATTCTTGAATATCGATATTCCTGATTGTTTTGTTTATTTAGTTCTTTGGTTTCCATCAAGATAGAATATCATTTTGATATTTGAATTTATTTTCTGTTATATATTGCATGAGGATCAGGTATTAAAATCGATAACATGAGTTTAGCTAGCTTTGGAAGTAAATCAGTCAAGTATTATAATATCAATTCATAAAAACATATGATTCAGGCAGAAAATATGATAGAAAAATTTTAAAATTTGAAGAAAAAAAACAGAAAAAAGCTATCTAAACGAAAATTAAATTTTTCAAAAGTAGCACGAGTTGTTTGAAAAAGTCTCATATTTACTATAGATGTAAGTAGTTTTTATCTGTAGTCATTGACGACTATATCATCTATAAATATTTACACAGTGTATTAAAGATGTTCTATTCATCATTTATATATGTACATACACAAAAAACAAACAAATTTTTTTGAAAGCATTCTTTGTCAAGTCGTCTTATAATGTTACAATGGAGACTATACAGTAGTGGACATAAAACAATGGGAATCATGAGGGATGGTAATGGATAGCACTTATTTTTTCTTTGAACTTTATAGTTCTGAATAGAAAAGATTTTATGAGTCACCCGATCTCTCATTATTTACGGCTATATTTCAGCTATATAGACCGTAACTTAGTAACGCTTTAATGGATCAAGCTCAAACTTTTAGGCAAGCTTTGCCTACAAGTCTCAGAAGAGAAGCTCCTAAAGAGAAACGACGTGTCAACACTCATCGTGTTAGTGTTGAGGGCTTAAAGACATCCAGAGACAGCAATCTGGCAACATATTACGTGATTTTTTGAATGACGAAAGAACATATATTAGGTTTCCGTTGCAAACAAAAATATCAAGAATTTGTTACATATTTGTTATTTGAACCATTATTTGAATTGTTTTCCGCGCTTTTTATTATCCAAACTAATATCATTACGACGTAAGACCTTAAGTTTGCTATATTAAGTGCTGCATAATGAAAACAATTCTTCCTTATATGTCATTAAGTAAATTGCTGAAATCGATTCAAATGAGTCAGTAAAATCATCTGTCTCCACATTTCTGTTGTTGAATATATATATTGTCCTTAAACTGTTTTCCTTGACATAAATGTATTGTACAGTTCTTTTAATCTTAACTTTTCATGCAGCATATATAAATTTGAGAATCATGTAGAATCATTATAGTATTTAGCTTATCATTACATTTTGAATGTGAAGTATAATGCTGATCGTCGGTATTTCTTAGTGTTATCCATAATAGTAAACTTTGTTTAGGCATCGTTTAAGACTAGCGAAATGAAAGAGAAGAAGGACAAGATAAATCTTGATTTATGTTTGCAACTACGTTTAAATTTATACTGATTTAATCGCAGATCCTAAGAAGTCAAAAGAATTTTTGTTTAGCAAGAATAATGAATTCTTCGTTTCACAACTTTTAAACTCAACAGTGTCACGAGTTGTACAGATCTAATTATCTTCTAAAATGTTGTTGAAGATCGTTAACTTATGTTAAAGTATAGTTGCTTTTATCATGAATAACTGAAAATACTCTTCATCTATGATCAAATTAGAATGGTATTAGTTTGATATATTGTATTTAATATTTTACAGTTCTTTGTTCAATTCCAAAATGATATGAGATTTATTTTATGTTTCTCTAATCTTCAATGAATTGTCAGCAATTTAAATCATTGAATGATATCAATTAAATTAAATCTATTTAAGCATTTAGACATTTATATTTACCATTATAACAAACATGGGTATAACACCTGTTGATCTAATATCTAAACGAACTAAACGAAGACAATAATCAAGACTTCTGACTATGGCTCAATCTTCTCATAATAACAATTAGATTATATTACGGAATGGTCTTCTTCGTCCTAACAGAACAAAGGACCATTCTGTGCCCTGCCTGTAAAATGATCGTTTTATTACTTTTATCACAAGAATATAGACTTGTCTATATATGAGGTATGATGTCAAATACAGGATGTCCCAAAAGTCATGTCCACTTAATAAGAAATGCATAGGACTCCATTATTAAACAAGCTTAGTCTAATATATTTTTTCATTTGAAAGAGGGAAACGTAAAGTTTTTTTTTTGTCTAATACAAAGTGCATAAATACCATTTTAAGGCTATGACTTCTAACTGCAGCATAAAACTGTAGTATTTTTCCAATGTCAAAAAAAGGCGTGCAATGCTTTCCCTATATTTAATTAAACCTCTATCGTTATTGTGAACCTTGAGTCATTAACATCCTTTATCGTTGTTCTACAATCATTTACTTGATATTTTTTGAGAAGATCAACTAGCTACTATATTTCTCTAGAGCAGATTTTCTCTGGCACAGGCAAAACTTTTATAATTGGTGAAATCAAAATATTGAACGATGTTGTGCCTCTTACTGTCATTAGACTTGATATCGTTGCCTTCTTTCCATCAGAAAATATCAAAAGAATGCTGATAAAGCAATATTAGATGATGATTATGATTTAAAATCCATAATAATGAGAGAGGTTTAATTAAATATAGGAAAAGCATTCCACACCTTTTTTTGACATTGGAAAAATGCTACAGTTTTATGCTGCAGTTAGAAGTCATAGCCTTAAAATGGTATTTATGAACTTTGTATTAGACAAAAAAAACTTTATGTTTCCCTCTTTCAAATGAAAAAATATATTAGATTAAGCTTGTTTAATAATGGAGTTCTACGCATTTCTTATTAAGTGGACATGACTTTTGAGACACACTGTAAAAATGAATCATTTTTAGATACATGTTTTTCTATGTTTAATTCATATAATATTATTATTTATTTCTCTTTGTTTAATTGATGCTGGTTTATTATTTAATAAATTAACAATAAATGATCAATTTGATGGAGAAGAGCTTGATGAAGATGTTTTGAAAGAAAGAAAAATATTCTCAAAAAGATAATTTAACTCTTAATCATACTACTTTTAGAATTCAGCAAGGAGAATATTTTGGTCTTCTCGTTTTTAATGGAGCTGGTTTGTTTTATTTTTATTATTAATTTAAATAATTTTTTCTAAAAAGGCAAAACATCACTATTTAAAATAATAGTTGGTGAAGAAAAAAGCAGCAAATGGTTCAATTTTTCTAAATGGAAAATTAATTAAAAGAATAAATCGAGATATTGGATATTGTCCACAATATGATTTTATTCAAGATAAATTAACTTTAGAAGTTTGTCTTTATTTATTTGGACGCTTACGTGGAATTGTTAATCATCATCTTAAAAAAACAATCAAAGTTATTTACAATTTATTTTTATGTGATCATGAAACTAAACAATATATTAAACAATTAAGTCGAGGAACTATGAGAAAAATACATACAGCTATTGCTTGTCTTGAACCACCAACTATTATTCTTCTCGACTTGTTTATTTTACTTCGAATTTTAAATAAAAACATTATTCTCTATCATCATTTGCAATTTGAAAAAATTAAGTTTTGCTCAATTAGAGTTTGAGTTTAAAGTAGTTTGGGATTTTGTTAGGATTTTCAGTTATAACAATGATTATAACGAAGAAACAGACGATGAAACATTCACGTTTGATAATACTGAAACAGATAAAGCATAAGAGGATAATAAAACACAACTATTATTAGTAGACATTGGTTAATTTAAATTGTTGCCTATAAAAAAAAGTCGAAAGAGAAGAAGAGAATTTTGTGTTTCAACTGAACAATAACATTGTTCTTTATATTTCCGCTGAAATAAATCAATCATAATTATTAGCTTTTCTCTTTTATTTATTCACTCTTTTACTAAGAGACTCAGTACAAATTACAAAATGACGACAGTTGGTGGACAAAATCTTCAACTTGTAATTATCTTATGTTTCATGTTTACTCCTAGGGAGTTAAATATTAGTCGTACTCAGGCGAACAACTTTAGCCTGGCCTGGCCTGCAGGTCAGGCCGAATATTATACGGATGGATCAGGTCAGACTGGCAGCCCTGATCTGCGCTGAATTCGAAATAGTTAAACAATCATGACAATCTAAAATAGCTAACACCCACATCATTAGATGAATTAGTAATTGGAGTAGCACTAGAAAAGGATTGAAACTTTGTTTTTTAAACATTGCCATATTCGTAGCCGATCGTTTGAGAAACATATATGCCAATATTGTTTACAACTTATCCAAAAAGCAGAGAAAATCTTTAGATAAACTTACATTGCCTTTAATCAATGAAAGAAAATAATATAAAAAAATGTGATCAATAGACCAGGATGTCAATACAAATCATATTCTTTGCCAAATTATTAAAGTTGCCTAAAACTTAAAATAGTGGAAAAACAAAAAATTAACTCAGAAATACCAGATCATCTTTTTATTACGTATTCATATTGCTCTTTTCAATCAAAAAAGATTTAAAAAAAAGGAAAATTTATCAATGATCAATTTACATAGTTTAGCATTACATTGAATTTATCTATCAATCATAGTAGGACGTGCACAGGATTTTTGAGTTGTAAATCTCCTAGTGTTTACTCATATTATTATTCATTCATACATGATTAAAACCTTTTGTACGTCTTATATAAGACAATAATGATAAAAAGTAGAACTTGGAAAAAGAAGAAATTCCTTATTGGAAAATTCAGTTGAATTATTTTCTATTTCGTTCAATCTATGCTAAAAAAAATGTGCTTATTGGAAACGATCAGTCGAATTGTTCTAATAGCATTTTTATTTTAATCAATTTGATCAGTCTATGGTTATTTTATAACTAAGACAAATTGTTTATTATCTAATTCAATGCAATGGCAATTTCGGCAGAGATTTAATATTACCAAACATTATTTTAATCGC